GGGCCAATTCTTCCACAGTCACGTCTCGGACAGGGAGGGAGATGCAGGTACTGGCCATGGCACATGCCAGCATGGAGCACTCACTGTAAGGATGCAAGGACCAGCCTTGCAATGAGCTGCCGTGAGTACTAAAGTCATGGAGCAGCCAATAAAACCTTCCAGTGGAAATGCTGACCTGACAGCCCTGGTCTCAGGAATTCAGCAGTGCAATAAAAAAAGCTTCCTCTGATCAGTGGACTGAGAAGTTGACACAGTCAACCACCCTGCACGGTGTCTCGCTGTGCTTCCAAGCACTGGCTCTGAGCCCCTCTCCCTTTTGGAACTGCCTAGTTTTGGAGCCTGAGAGCTCAGCTGGCTCTCAGCAGGTGCAGCTTTTTGTTCAGAACAGCTTCATTGTGTTTGCCCCTCAGGAACTGCATCTGTCCTGTCTGTGCATTCGAACCAGGCTGTCCCCGCAGCGCCGTGGTGCAGGACCACACCATGGAGAGCAAGTGCATCTCTCAAGGCTCTTTGCAGGTGAATCCTGAAGGAGCTTTGCTGGCCCAGTGTTAGACAGGGAGAAGTAAGTATACAAATATATCCTGAAGATGTAGATGCCTGTCCCAGCCACGTATCCTGCCAGTGTTTCGAGTATCCAGTGTTTCCTGTAGGTCACTGCAGAGCAAGCTGAGCAAACCTAGCAGTTGGTATAAGTTCTAAAGCACTGATTTTCTCTTACAAAAGGGACTTGGAGCTCTGCACCCATTTTCCCAGATGTACCCAGGGAGTGTGGCACCGAGTGTGGGGCTCGTGGCTCTCAGAACCTGCTCCTTGCTGAGCCCCCAGTTCGCTATGCAGGCAGCCCTGCCCTCCTGGGAAGAGGTGGCTCCAGGACGGGCTCCTGGCAGCTGCCTCTCAATCTCCCAGTGGCAGGCACTGCCCTGGAGCTCTGCAGACTGTGCTGTGCCCTGTGCAGCCCTTGTTCCTCCACCAGGAGCAGGGAAGGTCAGCTCTCATCCCAGAGCTATGGGGAACGCACTGCTGCAGATGGCTCCTGCCTACCTGCCGTGACCACTGAGCCACAGGAGAAGCTATAAACGGATGTCACAGAAAACTACAGAACAAATTACAAGCAGAAAAATAGAAAGACAAAAGATGGATGAGATGGGCACAGCACTACGGCACAGAGTGGATTTGAACTTGAAGTGAACCTGAGCCGAATGACCAAGCTGCCATGGTATGTTCATTTGTCGACGTCGGCATCATCAATCTGGCCTTTGTGAAGCCTGGCAGTGAGGTCTGGCTTTTCTTTACTGCAGGATAAATAACAACTAAAAATGGTGGTGCAAGCTCCAAGTAAACGAGCACTTCCAGGGGGTCACCCGAGGGCTCCAGAGCTGGTGCACAGCTTTAACTCTTTTGCCCAGGAACAATGTACATGCAACCAAATCGGCCTCTGCTCTCCAACCACATGGCCACTCTACAGACACAGCTCCAGAAAATTATTTACCTGATCGGAAGAAGCTGAAGCAAAGATCTGGACTCAGTTTGTCCCAAATGTATTTTGTGCTCTTCATCCCAGCAGTACAGTGTGGTGCCTTAAAACCAGAAATGAATCTTTGGACAAGAATTATTTTGCTTATGTACAAATAAAAAATATTAGCTGACAGTACAAATACTGCTGTTAGTTACCACTCTGTGCAACTAGCAAATGCCAGATCAATCCAAGGGAGTGCAAAGTAGGCTGGGGCACATGTATGACCCAGGCTGAGAGCAACAGCACTGTTACTGTTACCATGGCAATTGCATTTCAGTGGGGTCAGGGAATCAGTATTTTACAATACAAAAAATTGTACATTTTAACTCTTACTCCAAAATTGCCATTTTGCTGCCATGATGTATGTTTGTTCTACAGCAGAGACTTGAAAGAGCAGCACAGAGTCAGATGGGCACTTGTAAATAACTTATTACAGCAATGGACTTCTCCAAGACATGTGTTTGGCTTGGGAGCAAGCCCGGTCAGCGATCACAGGGAGGCAGAGGTCAGGGTTTAATGCATCCCGCTCTCATCCTGTGCCATGTCAGTCTTCAGTGCTTCCCCATGAGTGCCCAGGAAACAGGCACATCTCTTTTGTTTTAGCAGCTAGCAGGGAACACGTTAGAGAACTGTCTCAGTGATGGGCAGGTGATGGCATCCCAGCTGTCAGCAGGTCCACAGGCAGCTTGGCTGGGGTCTGCCAGGGTGTCGCTGCCAGCATCCATCCATCCATCCAGAAACACAGGAGGCTTGCTGCCCTAGATCCGTGTGGACAGACAGACACCCTGTGCAAAGCGAAGGTGCTTCATCTCAGGACCTGCAGTGCACCTTGGGCACCCTGCCTGCCTGGCCAGTGCCCAGGGAGAGCCAGGGGCCCTGGCTCCCCCAGCCTAGGCAAATCCAGTGATCACAGTGGATCTGAGACTGATCCCAGCCACAGCAGAACTCCTGTGCCCAGACCGTGGCAGAGGGATTGGCATTCACTGCAGCTGGGTTCTGCACTGGCCTGGGTGCCACAGGAGCCTCCTGCTGCAAGGTGTGGAGAGCCAAGCAGCTCCACAGCAGCTCGTGTGGCAGTACCCAGCCATGCCTTCCACTGCTCCTTTCAGGGGTAAGATCTCTCCATGCTCCGCAAGCTCCCGGCTGTGTTCGCAGAGGTTTACAGCTCTGGATTCTGTGACTGTCCTGCAGCAGGGTTACAAAGTGGGGATGAGCAAGGGGCTGCCTCAGGCTCCCAGTCCTCAGTCCTGTACTCACGTGGAGAGGGGTCTGCGGCGGGGTGGGGGCAGCT